TTCTTCTCCTTCTATTACGCTGCAGCAGCAGCAGCAGCAGCAGCAGCAGCAACAGCAACGGCAGATGTTTGGAGGTTGCTATGAGCAAGCAGCACGTAAGCAGCCTTCTTACCGCCTTTGTACCTGCTGCTGCTGCTGCTGCTGCTGCTGCTGCTGCTGCTGCTGCTGCTGCTGCATCATCCGTTGCTGCTGCTGCTGCATTTGTATATTGCGTTGTTTGTATGTTCTCAGCTGGCCGTCGCCGCCGTCGTGGCAGCCAGAGCGCAGCAGCAGCAGCAGCAGCAGCAGCAGCGTCTGCAGCATCAACAGCAACAGGAGGAGGAGAGCAGCAGCAGCAGCAGCAGCAGCAGATAGAGTTAGATTTATCCCATGTAGAGGCCTGCAGCTGGGCATCTGTATACCTAAGGAAGACAGGGGAACCCTTATGTGGGGATCGGGAGACGACTGGGATCGGATCCCCGTCTCCCGATCCCCACTCGTCTCCCTTCTCCCTAAGTCTATTAGGAGGAGGAGAAGATAGCAACAATACACAACTTGTACCTGCTGCTCCTCTTCCTGCTCTTCCTCCTCCTGCTCCTGCTGCTGCTGCTGCTGATGCAGAGCCTGCTGCTGCTGTTGCTGCTGCTGATAATATAAGACAAAAGAGGGAGAAACAAACAAAACAGAAAAATAAATATTATAAAACAGCAACAGAGGATCTAGAGGCAGCAGCAGCAGAAGCTGCTGCTGCTGGTGCTGCTGCTGCTGCTGCTGCTGCTGTTGTTCCTAGTAATGTTGATGCGCCTTTCCCTACCGGGGGAGAACAACAGTATCCAAGAACACGGCGAGCAGCAGCAGCAGCAGCTGCTGCTGCTGCTGCAGCAGCAGCAGCAGCAACAAGAGCAGCAACAAGAGCAGCAGCACTTGCTGCTGCTAGGGTGTCTAGACGAGAAGAGTATCGTCTTAAATAATTTTTTTCTTTTTTCTTGTCTTTTTCTTTTAATTATAAATTTACCTTTTGCTGCTTGCTGCTGCTGCTGCTGCTGCTGCTGCTGCTGCTGGTGCTTATTATTATTATTATTATTATTATTTATAGCCGTTTATCTATATACCAAGCTATGAGTAAATAAACAAATATATGTTATATATGTGCACGCAGCTAGCTAGCTAGCTCTCTAGCTAGCTAGCTAGCTAGCTAATACGCCCTAAATGTGTCCTTCTGGCTGCTCCCTGCATGCAATCAGCGTAGCTAGCTAGCTAGCTAAGGCAATTGATTGGTTAGCTAGCCAAGAAAGTTAGCTAGCTACCTAGCTAGCTAGCTAGCTAGCTAAGAGGGGATATAAAAAGAAAAGATAAAACAGGAATTAGAGGAGGAGTCTCTTCCTTATGTACAACCAACCAAGAAACTGCCACCAACAGCAGCAACAGCAGCAGCTGCCGCAGCAGCAGCAGCTGCTGCTGCTGCCGCTGCTGCTCGTGATGCAGTTGCAGTTGCAACAGAGTCGGTGGCCGCCCTGCTGCTGCTGCATGCAGCAGCAACAAGCTAGTTCTGCAGAAACAGCAGCAGCTAGCTAGTGCTGAGGCAACAACAGCAGCAGTAAGCCATTGCTGGTGCTGCTGCTGCTGCTGCTGCTGCAGCAGCAGCAGCAGCAGCAAGAAGTACATTTTACCTGCGTTTATATTTCTTTTTAGATTTAAAACTGTTACGGCCAGGGATAACTCCCCTCCTCTTTTTCTTTGCTGCTGCTGCTGCTGCTGCTGCACCATCATCTGTCTTGAATCGTTTATTGCTGCTGCTGCTGCTGCTGCTGCTGTCTGCTGTTGCTCTCCTTCTCTTCTTCCGCTGCTGCTGCTGCTGCCGTCGGTTCCTTCCTCTAGACCCAGATATAGCATCTTCGTCTACGTCACGATCCATCCTTAGCCTCTGCGGCCTCGCGCTCCTGCAGCAGCAGCAACAGCAGCAGCAGCAACGGCAACAGCAGCAGCAGCAACAGCAGCAGCAGTAGTATGCATATATTAAGCCTAGTGCTGTTGCATTGAGTCCTTTACACAGCCATTAAAAATCCCCTCTGCAGCAACTGCTGCTCTACTGCTGCTGTGCACGCAGCAGCAGCAGCAGCAGGAGCAGCACAATCTGCTGTTGCTGGTCTTGCTGCTGTTGCTGTTGCTGTTGCTGCTGCTGCTGCTGCTATTAGTTGGTTATACTTACTTTTTTCTTGATCTTGCGGATAACTTTGCTACGCGATATTCTTTCATAAGCTGAGCAGCAAACAAAGACATGCTGCTGCTGCTGCTGCTGCTGCTGCTGCTGCTGCTGTTGCTGCCGCTGCTTCTGGTGCTTTGGGTGTTGCTGCTGTCTACGGTGCTGCTACTGTTACTGCAACTGCTGCTGCTGCCGCTGCTGCTGCTGCAGGGGGACAGTGAATTCCTCTTACCTCTTTTTGTTTAGGAGTTAACTGTGGCCTTTTCTTGTGTTGCTGCTGCTGCTGCTGCTTCTGCTGCTGCAGTTGCTGCTGCAGCTTAGCCTTTTGTTCCTTTGTTGTCTTAATCTCCTTAAATTTAACCTTAGCAGCAGCACGAGGTGTCTCCTCTTCCTCGTTGCTGCTGTTGCTGCTGTTGCTGCCGTCGCTGCCGTCATCCTCTGCTGTTACCCAATCAGGTAGCTCTGCAGCAAACACACAAACACACATGCGTTGTTGCTGCTGCTTCTGCTGCTGATGTTGCTGCTGCTCCTGCTGTTGCTGCTGTTGCTGTTGCTGCTGCTGCTGCTGCTGCTGTACCTTCATTGCTGTCCTCGTCTTCCTCATCTTCGTCTCCGCTGCTGCCTGATTCTGTTGTCTCTTCTTCTTCATCGTCATCTTCTTCCTCCTCTTCTTCCTCATCATCATCATCTTCTTCTTGCTGCTGCTTCTTATTCTTTTGCTTCTTTCCTGCTGCAGCATCCGTGCTGCTGCTGCTGCTGCTGCTGCTGCTGAGTAGAGACTTAGCCTCTGCCTCTGCCTTTGCTGCTTCTTGAATTCTCTTTTTGTCTTTTTTACTTTCAAACCATTCACGCTGAGGACGAGAATAAATTGCATCTAAGCAGCAGCAGCAGCAGCAGCAGCAGCAGCAGCAACAGCAGCAGCAGCAGCACAAGCACAAGCAGAAGGAGGAAGAGGAATGATTATATGCATGTCGTGTATTAGTAGAAGTTGTATAGTGTCTCTAGGTATTACCTTGTTAGGTACTGTTACTGCTGCTGCTTCTGCTGCTGCTGCTGCTGCTGTTGCTGCTGCTGTTGCTGCTGCTGCTGCAGGAATTCGTACCTGCATGCTGTTGTATATTATTAGCCTTAGCAATAAACATTTGTGCTAATCGCATCTCTCTTTCTAGTGTCTCCTCTTGCTTCTTCTTCTTTAATGCACCATCTAATGCCCGGACCTATAATGCATGCATGCATGCAGCAGCAGCAGCAGCAGCAGCATAAACATACAATTTGGTGCTGCTGCTGCTGCTACTGTTGCTGTTGCTGCTGTTGCTGCCACATGGTGCTGTCGCAAGAAGGAGTTGTTATAGCAAAGAGTTATAGGGAAAAGAGACAATAGGAAGGAAAAAAGGAGACAAAAAGGAGACAAAAAGGAGACACATAAAGGAGACAAAAAAAGAGACAAAAAAGAGACAAATAAAGGAGACACAAATTCTTTTCCTTACCTCCTTCCTTATAGCCTCAAGCTTAGCGCTATCAATCCTTCTCCTTAGGACCTGCTGTTGCTTCTGCTCCTGCTGCTGCTGCTGCTGCTTCTGCTGCTGCTGCTGCTGCTGCTGCTGCTGCTGCTGCTGCTGCTTATCCTTGTGCCCTATAGCAGCAAGGAGTCTCTTAACAGCAAGTCTCTCTGTTGTGTCTCTTACATAAAGAGTTGCTGCTATACCTACACGACCCATACGTGCTGTCCTGCCTACTGAATGTACATACCTATAAGGAGACAAAAAGGAGACAAAAAAAGGAGACACATATATATAATATAATAGGAGATACATTATACTATAAAAGGAGACAAAAAGAGGAACAAGGAGATATATAATATGTGCTGTCCTCCCTAATGAATGTATATATCTATAAAGAAAAAAAAGGAGACAAAAAGGAGACAACTAACAAAAGGAGACAGCAAAGGAGACAGCAAAGGAGACAGCAAGGGAGAGAGCAAAGGAGAGAGCAAGCAAAGGAGAAAATAAAAGGAGACAGCAAAGGAGACAATAAAAGGAGACAGCAAAGGAGACAATAAAAGGAGACAATAAAAGGAGACAGCAAAGGAGACAAAAAAAAAGGAGACAGCAAAGGAGAAAATAAAAGGAGACAGTGTATGTATATACCTCTCTATATCCTTAGGAGGTGTATAATTAATAACAAAGGAGACATCTTTTACATCTAAGCCACGACTAGCTAACTCGCTAGCTAATAGTACATCTGCTTCTCCTTCCTCGAACCTATAAGCAGCAGCAGCAGCAGCAGCAGCAACAGCAGCAGCAGCAAATGCAGCAAATGCAGCAAATGCAGCAAATGCAGCAAACGCAACAGCTACTGTTTCAGTCATTGCTGCAGCAGCAGCAGCAGCAACACCAGCAATACACCACCAGCACCACCAGTCCCACCCCACCCCCTCAACAGCAGCAGCAGCAGCAGCAGCAGCAGCAGCAGCAGCAGCAGCAGCAGCAGCAGTTTACTTTTTTAAGGAATCCATCCTCATTTGTTGGGTTAAGTCTCCATGTAATTCAGCACAAGAAATCCCCAACAAACAAAACAACAAATATACATCATGTGCCTCCTTCTTTGTCTGTATATACATGCACAATATATATTATTGCTGCCCCTTATTCTCTTGCTGCTGCTGCTGTTGGTGCTCCTGCTGCTCTTGATGCTGCTGTTCCTGCTGCTAAGGGGGATGGGCAAATAATAAACGGTTGGAGGGCATATAGCTAGCTAGCTAGCTAGCTAGCTAGTTAGCTAGCTAGTTAGCTAGCTAGTTAGCTAGCTAGTTAGCTAGCTAGTTAGCTAGCTAGTTATATGTATAGGTACGTATAAAGCTAGCTATGTGTATGTATATGTAGCTATATAACTAGGCTAGCTAGCTAGCTAACCACGAATCTAGCTAGGTAGCTAGCTAGGTAGCTAGCTAGCTAGATAGCTAGCTAGGTAGCTAGGTAGCTAGGTAGCTAGGTAGCTAGGTAGCTAGGTAGCTAGGTATATATGCATATATACTTACAGGAAAGAAGACAATAAGCCTATGAGTAAAAGAAGAACGAATAAGATAAATAAGAGAAGATAATCGATGTTCTTCCTCTTGTAGTTCAACAAATTGCTGCTGTAAATTCTCTGGTAATGATACACGATGCTGCTGCTGCTGCTGCTGCTGCTGCTGTCCCTTCTTCTTGCTGCTGCTACTGCTGCTGCTGCTGCTACTGCTGCTGCTGCGGGGCTCACAGGTAATATGTAAAGGAGACTGCAGAGCTAGTAAGGCTAAGGAGGAGACAGCTGAGGAGACAGTTGCAGAGAATAATAATGTCTGGTGTCCTCTATGGCAATAACGTAGTACCTGCAGTATCTGCATGCATTATATACACAACATAGCAGCAATATATTATATAAATAACTACCTATATAGATAAATATACGGATATATAATTGGATAACTAATTGGCTAACTAATTGGCTAGCTAATTGGCTACCTAATTGGCTAGCTAATTGGCTAGCTAATTGGCTAGCTAATTGGCTAGCTAATTGGCTAGTTAGATGGCTAGCTGGATAGGTAGCTAGCTACCTATGTGGCTATCCAACTAGCTAGCTACATAGCTAGCTAACCAGTTAACCAGCTACATAACTAGCTAATCAGCTAGCCAGCTACCCAGTTACCTAGCTAGCTACCTAGCTACGTAGCTAGATAGCCAGCTAGCTAGCTAGCTAGCTAGCTAGCTAGCTAGCTAGCTAGCTAGCTAGCTAGGTATTGGTGCCTTACCTGATCTCTGAATCCTAACTCTAATAGACGATCTGCCTCATCCAATACAATCACCTCCAATAACTCCAAATGAGTACTCTGCAGCAGCAGCAGCAGCAGCAGCAGCAGCAGCAGCAGCAGCAAGTGTAGCAGCAGCAGCAACAGCAGCAGCAGCAAGTGTAATAACAGCAGCAGGGATAACAGGAATGCGAGCAGAAAGGGAGACACCCAACAGCCTTTCTGCAGCAGCAGCAGCAACAACAGACTAAAATAACACAGGCAGCAGCATAGCAGCAGCAACAGCAGCAACAACAGCAGCAGCAGCACTTGCTGCAGCAGCAGCTGCTGCTGCTGCTGTAGTGTACGTACAGCTGAGTTAAGGAGTAGATCTATGATTCTTCCTGGTGTAGCAACAACAATGTCTGGTTGCTGCCGCAGTTCTGCTTCCTGCTGCTGTAAGGAGACACCTCCTACCGCCTAACAGCAGCAGCAGCAGCAGCAACAGCAGCAGCAGCAGCAACACGATTATTAAGACAAACGCATGCAGCAGCACCAACAGACTAAGCAGCAGCAGCAGCAACAGCAGCAACAGCAAAAGCAAACAGCAGCAAACACTACATCCGCTGCAGCAGCAACACCCCCATCACCAGCATCATCAGCAGCAGCAAACAGCAGCAGCAACAGCAGCAGCAGCAGCAGCAATACTAACAAGAGTAGAGGTAATAGGTGCATATATAGTTAGCTGCTGCAGCAGATTATAACACTGCAGCGCCAATTCTCTTGTAGGCAGCAGCAGCAAACCCTTAGACCCTCGTAAACCACCAACAGGACCATGGCTAGTCATCTGCATGCATGCATGCATGCATACATACATACACACAACGGATTGCTCCTGCTCCTGCTCCTCCTCCTCCTGCTGCTCCTGCTGCTGCTGATGGTGGCGGTGGTGGTGGTAGGGAAGGGGAGGTTGCAACGGATGGTGGGGTCCATAGAGGAAGTCCTACAGCTAGCTAGCTAAGCATGCAGCTAGCTAGCTAGCTGGCTAGCTATCTAGCCAGCTAGCTATCTAGCTAGCTAGCTGGCTAGCTAGGTAGCTAGCTGGCTAGCTAGATAGGGTTGTGTGTACCTTTCTTGCTTTAACTCCTGGGCTTTGGAGGAGACGCTCCAATAGAGGCAACAGAAATGCTGCTGTCTTACCAGACCCTGAATATAAACCCTAAACCCTAAACCCTAAACCCTAAACCTAAACCCTAAACCCTAAACCCTTTTTTCTTTTGTGTATAAAAAAGTTAGATGCTGCAGGAGACATCCATCCTATAAAGAGGAGATGCAGCTACCAACTAGCAGCTAGTGTAAAGTGTTTGGGTAAACCAAGGGTTTAGGGTTTAGGGTTTAGGGTTTAGGGTTTAGGGTTTACCAGTTTGTGCACTAACAAGAAGATCACGTCCTCTTAGTGCAGCAGGAATAGCAGCAGATTGAACAAAAGAAGGATGATGATAATTTAATGCATCTAATGCCTATCACATAAAACCCTAAACCCTAAACCCTAAACCCTAAACCCTAAACCCTAAAACCCTAAAACCCTAAACCTTAAACCCTAAGCCCTAAACAGCATATCCTAAGAGGGAAGACAATGGGGTCATGTTTGAATATGTGTAGTCTACGAGAAGGTCTACAGCAGCAGCAACAGCAACAGCAGCAGCAACAGCAGCAACAGCAGCAGCAGCACATACCTTTAGCAGAGGTCTGCTAAGATGTAGATCTGCCCATGTAGTCTCCATATCCAGCAGCACATTGTTGCTGCCTTCCTCGTCATCGTTGCTGCTCTTTTTCTGCTGCTGCTGCTGCTTCTGCTGCTGCTGCTGCTGTTGCTGCTGCTGCTGCTGCTGTTGCTGCTGCTGCTGCTGCTGTTTCTTAGAGGATTTGTCCTTACCTTCTTCATCAGAAGAAGAACCATCAAGATCTAAACAACCATCAGATAGATCTACATCCTCCTCCTCTCCTGCTGCTGCTGCTGCTGCTGCTGCATGCTGCTGCTGCTGCTGCTGCTGTTGGTCCTCTTCCTCTTCTCCAGCACTATCTGAAGGGGGGGCCCTCTTGGGGGCCCCTAGGGTATCGAGGGAGTGTGGGGCCCCCTTGCTGCTGCTTATCTTCTTCTTCCCCATTGTATATAATAATAATAAATAAAAATATAATAATTAAGCAGCAGCAGCAGCAACAGCAGCGGCTGCTGCTGCAGCAAAAAGTCCCTTTTTGCTGCTGCTGCTGCTGATCCCGTTGCTGCTGCTGCTGCTGCAGCAAGCAGACGGTCCTTCTACAGGCAGCAAGAAAATAAATACTATTTATTATTAATATAAATAAATATATTTATATTTATTTTTTATTTATTTATTTCTTATAACAAACAAACAGCAAAAAAAAACCCTTTTGCTGTAGCAGTAGACCCTCTGCGGGGAGCGGGGGCCCCCTGTAACAATCTGTGGGGCCCCCAGGGGGCCCCCTTAGGGGCCCCTTTTTCTATCTGTGGGGTCCCCAAGCCTTTTATTCTTATTCAGTGTCCTATACTTTAACCAAACCCTTAAAAAGGGTTTAGGGTTTAGGGGTGGGCCCATAAACCCTCAGACACCCCTCTAAACCCTCATTGGGGGCCCCCCAAACCCTGAAGGGTTTACGTAAACCCTCAGGGGGCCCCCCGAAACCCTACAGGGTTTAATTAAACCCTCGAGGGTTTCCCTTAAACCCTAGAGGGTCTCCCTAAACCCTCGAGGGTTTACGTAGCCCCTAAATGGTATGCCCAAACCCTAGAGGGTTTGCGTAAACCCTCGAGGGTTTATTGTTTATTGCACTATATAAGAAGAGAGCAGCAAGTTGCTGTCTGCTGCTGTCTCCTCTGTCTCCTGTTTGTATCGATATGCTGCTGTTGCTGCAGCAGCAGAAGCAGCAGCAGCAGCAGCAGCAGCTGGTGTCCCTATCTACATTTTGTCTACCCTAAGGGTGTAACTATCTCCTACTAACTGTCCCCTATTAACTGTCTCCTTTCTGTCCCCTTTTTTCTGTCTCCTCTTCCTGTCTCCTCTTCCTGTCTCCTCTTCCTGTCTCCTTTTATGTGTCTCCTTGCTGTGTCTCCTTTGTGTCTCCTTTGTGTCTCCTGCATAGAGCAGCTGTCTCCTTTACCTGCTGTCATAAACATTTGTCGGTTGCTGCTGCCCCCCGCAAATAATCGGCAGCAGCAGCAGCAGCAGCAGCAGCAGAGGAGACAAAAAGCAGCGCAGCTAATATCTATGCTGCTGCTGCTGCTGCGTCTGCCTTCTCGGTGCTGCTGCTGTGTCTCATGGCCAGCTGTTGTGTCATATGAAGCAGCAGCAGAAGCCGCAGATGCAGCAGCAGCAGCAGCAGCAGCAGTGGATGCTGCTGCTGCTGCTGTTGCTGCTGCTGTTGCTGCTGCACTTGGCTCCTTGAGGAAGGAGTGTGAAAAACAACAGCAGCGGCAGCTCTGCCGCTGCTGTTGCTGCAGCTGCTGCAGTTGCTGCTACTGCTACAGTTGCTGCAGCAGCAAAAGCTGCTGCTGCTGCTGCTGCTGTTGCAGGTACTGCAGCAGCAGCATTATTCTTTGTAGCAACTGGGTGCATGCTGCAGCAGCAAATCAGAGAAGCCTGGCTGCTGCTTGGCTATAGCCATACGCTGCAGGTAAGAACAAGGCTCAAGGCATGCAGCAGCAGCAGCAGCAGCAGCAGCAGCAGCAAATGTGTACGGTGGCCCCACAACACCTGATGGTGTTGTTGCTGCTGTTGATCCCTCAAGGGGACTACGCAGCTTAGGTAGGCCATATGCACTAACCATCTCCTGCTGCTGCTGCTGCTGCTGCTGTGCTGCAGCTGCTGCTGCTAACATATAATCTGTAGGTACACCATAAGGGAGGGGCCCCCAATAGGGGCCCCACTCCTCTGCAGCAGGAGCGCGGCAGTAAGCCAAATGATTGTCCCCATAGGCAATAGCATGCTGCTGCTGCAGTTGCTGCTGCAGTTGCTGCTGCTGCTGCTGCTGCTGCTCGTGGGCGTGCTGCTGTGCTGCAGTCTTGTACCCTCGGGTGTCTGCTGTGTCTACACCCGTATGCTCAGATCGAGCAGCGCATGCAAAGGGAATCCCTGCTGCTGCTTCCTGCTGGTGTTGCTGCTGCTGGTGTTGCTGCTGCTGGTGTTGCTGCTGCTGATGTTGCTGCTGCTGGTGTTGTTGCTGCTGCTGTTGCTGCTGGTGGTGGTTGTAGCCCGAGAAGCCTTGCTGCCCTCCTGGCCTACGACCTCCTCTCCTATGAGGTTCAGCAGCAACTCCCCCTGCTGCTGCTGCACCACCATCAGCAGCAGCAGCAGCACCTGCTGCTGCTGCTGCTGCTGCTGCTGCAGGTGACCCACCTTTACGTGTGAATGCAGCACCATCACCATCATACCGTTTGATGTTGTTGCCATCATTATCACGCCGCTGCTGCTGCAGTTGCTGCTGCTGCTGCTGCTGCTGCTGTGGCTGCTGCTGCTGCTGCTGCTGCTGCTGCGGAGAAGAGACAAGGAATCTATTGTCTGAGGGTCCCCTTAGCTTCTCTGCAGGTAAGACCCATGTGCTGCAGCTAACAGGCCCATCAGTACTCCATACTTCCGGTGCATGCGGCCTAGGCCTCTCCTGCTGCTGCTGCTGCTGATGCTGCTGATGCTGCTGCTGGTGTTTCGGTTGGTCCTTATGAGGGCCCCCATGGGGCCCCTCCCTCTTTGAATGCGAAGGCGGCGAATCGACTGCTGCAGCAGATGCAGCAGGAGTTGCATGCGAATCCCCTGGAGGCTGCTTCGCTTGCTGCTGCTGCTGCTGCTGCTGCTGCTGCTGTTCAACTTCAGCAGCAGCAGGTGTACGATGGACTTCTTCAGCATTGCCTGCAGCAGCAGCTGCTGCTGCAGTTGTTGCGGATGCTGCTGCACCATTTGTGGCACTCGTAGGTGCAGCTGCTGTTGCTGCTGCAGCAGAAGCTCCTGCTGCTGCTGCTGCTGCAGGCGGAGGCGGATTTTGCGTGTCGTTGTTGGTCTTCTCATTAGCAGCAGCAGGTGCAGCACGTGTTGCTGCTCCTGCTGCTCCTGCAGCAGCAGCATCTGCTGCTGCTGCTGCTGCATGCACGGGGCCCTCCGTATGGGGCCCCTCATGTTCTTGATTATTTCTTCTCCTCCATTCTTTGGGAGGGCGAGATACGCCAAAACCCTGCAAGCAGCAGCAGCAGCAGCAGCAGCAGCAGCAGCAAATGTACCAGCAGCAGCAGCAGCAAATGTACCAGCAGCAGCAGCAGCAAATGTACCGGCAGCAGCAGCAACATATTTAGCACCAGCAACACTACCATCAAAACAGGAAAACAACAGCATAAGAAGCAGCAGCAGCAGCAGCAGCAGCAGCAACTGTTGCTGCTGCTGCTGCTGCAGCTGCTGCTGAAGAAGAGCTAGTAGGTGCACCAATCTACTATCAATCCTACTCTATAAGAATGTGCTGCTGCTGCTGCTGCAGTTGCTGCTGCTGTATTCATGCTTACTCCTGCATTTCCTGCTGCAGCATTCATATGACGGAAAGGTCCATTGGTACCCTTGGGGGCCCCCCGGGGGCCCCCTGCCTGTGCGTCATCATCTGCTGCTGCCCTGTTATGGGGGCCCCTATTGAAGTAATTTTGTTTATTATTGTGTCTTTGCTGCTGATTGGGTACCATTGCTGCTGCTGCTGCTGCTGCTCCTCCTCCTCCTCCTGCACCTCCTCCTGCTCCTCCATTGAGGTGCATAGGGCCCCCCTGTGAGATGGGGGCCCCCCCTTTCGGGGGCCCCCTATACCCTTGACGGGGGCCCCTTCTTGTTGTTAATTCATCAGGGGAATGAGCAAAGGCACAAAGAGATCCTCGTTGGCATCTGCCTACTGCTGCATAACGACAAAGAGCAGACTTAGGGGCCCTGCAGCAGCAGCAGCAGCAGCACACGCAGCAGCAGCAGCAATAAGAAAAGGAGTAGCAGCAGTATGTAAAGAAGCGGGAAGTGCAGCAGCAAAAAGTGCAGCAGGAGGTGCAGCAGCAGCAGAAGCAGCAGCAGGAACACCTACCGAGGAGGGACGGGAGGAAGGGAAGACATCTCGGAAGCGGAGGTGTACAGACACCGCAGAAGCAACTGCAGCAGCAACAGCAGCAGCAGGAACTGCAGCAGCAGCAGAAGCAGCAGCAGCAGCAAAGACGTGCAGCTGCTGGTGGCAAGAAGTGTCTGTGTGCCAGAGACGAGGCGAAGGAAGAGACGGCAGAGGAGAGCCAAGAAAAGACAAAACCCTAAACCCTAAACCCTAAACCCTAAACCCTAGAGAGTGTTTTTGTCCTGTAGCAAAAGGGCCTCGTATAATATATAGGGGCCCTATAGGGGCCCTTTAGGGGCCCCTTACAGCAGCAGGTGCTGCTGTACCCTGCAGCAGCAGAGCAGCAGGGTGTCTGTTGTGTGTTGCTGCTGTATAAAGGATAAATAAGCAGCAAATATCTTTTTATCTCCTCTGTGCAGCAACAAGAGCAGCAAAAGGATAAAAAGAAAGGGGAAAGGGGCCCCTAAAAGGAATAAAAGATAAAAAGAAGAAAAGAAGAAAATAAAAAAGAATATAAAAGAAAAAAAAACAACAAAAGACATCAAGGGGGGCCCCCTGGGCCCTTTGACGACAACAAGGAGGGCCGGGCAAAGAAGAAGATGCAACAAGAGCGCAGCAGCAGCAGCAGCAGCAGCAGCTGTAGCTGTTGTAGCTGTAAGCAGCTGTAGCAGCAACAGGAACAGCAACAGCTGTATCAGCAGCAAAAAGCAACAGAAGCAGCAACAGCTGTAGCAGCAGCAGCAGCAGCAGCAACAGCAGCAGCAGCAGCAGCCCCATTCATAAACACATACAGATATAAATAAATTAAATAAATAAATATATTTATTTTTTATTTTAATTAAAAAAAAATATGAAAAAATATTTTTTCTTATTCTCTTATTCGCCGTTCAAGTGCTGCTGCCGCTGCTGCTGCTGCTGCTGCTGCTGCTGCTGCTTTTGCTGCTTTTTGCTTTCTGAGTAAAAGATAATTTTTTTATTTAATTAAATAAATTAAATTGTCTTTATTTAATTAATATTATTTAATTATTTTTATTTTATTTATTTAATTCTTTTTTATGCTTTTTATTCAGTGTATAGGCAGCTAGCTAGCTGCCTATACACCTGAGCGCAGCAGCTGAATAATATGCTAGCAGCAGCTGCTGCTGCCTTAGAAAAGAGACACTTTAATTAGAGCTGCTGCTGCTGCTGCTGCTGCTGCTATAAAAAGGAGACGCCTTAACTAGAGATGCTGCTGCTGCACTAGAGGAGAGACACTTTAATTAGCTGCTGCTGCTGCTGCTGCTGCTGTAGGAAGGAGACACTTCATTGAATTTGCTGCTGCTGCGCTGCTGCTGCTGTAGGAAGGAGACACTTCATTGAATTTGCTGCTGCTGCAGCAAAGTGTCTCCTTTATGTTGTGTCTTCTTAATAGAGGCTGCCTATACACCTGGGACCCCACACTACCTTGAGGTGTATAATTGTCTCCTTTTTTGTCTCCTTTTATTGCTTCCTAACAATGCTGTCTCCTTTATTAAGGTACAATTAAGTGTCTCCTTTTATGGAGACAGTTGCATGCATGCGTGCATGCAGCAACAATGCATGCATGCATGTATGCATGCATGCATGCATGCAGCAACAAAGAAGAAATAAAGGCATTTTATTAGCAAGTTATGGGGCTGTAAGTCACCCTTAAGGCAAAAAAGGAGACAGCTACGCCGCTGCCTACCTTTTGCTGCAGCAGCAGTAGCAACAGCTGCTGCTGCTGCTACTGGTGTTGTTGCTGTTATATATTATTTGCTGCAGCTTCTGCTGCTCTTGCTGCTGCTGCTGCTGCTGCTGCTGTTTTTTTTTTTCTTATTTGCTGCTAAGTATATTAAATATGCCTTATGCCTTGGGGTGTATAGGCAGCTAACAACCCCACCATTATAACACCATTTATTAATCCATACGTCCCTTTAGGTAACGAGTCCTTATCTTTTCAGGTGTTCTGCAGCAGCAGCAGCAGCAGCAAGAGCAGCAGCAGCAGCAACAGCAGCAGCAGCAGCAAACAAAGGAGATAAGCAAAAGAAAAAAAGGATGTAATTGTCAGCAGCATATAAGGAGACAAAGAAGAGACAGAAGCAGCACTAACAACAGCAACAGCAGCAGCAGCAGCAGCAACAGCAACAGCAGCAGCAGCAGCAGCAGCAACTTACATAACGTGTACAACCCCACCCCAACCAGAGACACAATCTCTATCTACACCAGCAAGGAGACACTGAGAAAGTGTCTCCATTAGTTCGTCCTCTTCCTATACAAAAGGAGACAAATAAATAAATAAATTAATTTATTTATTTATTTATTTATTTATTTATTCATTATTTAATGCAGATAAATAGCAGCAGCAGCAGCAGCAGCAACAGCAGCAACAGCAGCAAGATAGATAAGAAAGGGGACAGAAGAAGAAAGAGGAGACAAATAAATACATGCAAAGGTAGACACATAAAAAAAGACAGAAAAAAAGAGACAAAAAAAAGGAGACACAATAAAGGAGACATAAGGAAGAAGAGACACAAAAAGGAGACAAAAGGAGACAAAAGGAGACAAAAAGGAGACAAAAAGGAGACAAAAAGGAGACAAAAAGGAGACAAAAAGGAGACAAACAAGAGATTAGGTCTGTCTCGCATATGCTAGCTATAAGACACATAGAAAAAGACACACAAAAAGACACAAAAAAAAGGAGACACAATAAAGGAGACAAAAGGAGACAAAAGGAGACAAAAGGAGACACAAGGGGACAAAAGGAGACAAAAGGAGACAAATAAGATTAAGGTCTGTACATAGTCTTGCATATGCCAACTAATGGCTCCTTTGTTAACAATATATACATACAAAGAGACAAAAAAAAAGGAGACAAAAGGAGACAAAAGGAGACAAAAGGAGACAAAAGGAGACAAAAGGAGAG